TTCTCATGAAAAACAGAGCGCACCTGCATGTGCTATTTTTTTCTGCTTATAAAAAAGAGCGGATGTAAATAAAATCACTACGTTTCACCTCAGACAAATCTGACATTAGAACGCCCTAGTTTACTACTTTTAAAGTCATTTTTGGTCGCCTGCACACTGTCGCCTGCAATGTGGGGCGTTTAGGGAACATCGGTAAATTGTAGAGTCTATCAATCAGAAAATGTTCAGCAAGCATGTTTTGTCTGTCGCGAGGTGGGGGCTGTGCGACCAACTGAGAAAGTTAGTGAAAAAGTTAGTCTGCTGATGAACACACATGATGATTGTTTGGATGTTCAATGTGGCCTTGCACTCATTGTTACTTTACTTTACAAGTGTGATGTGCAAACTGACAAAACCCCACATTTCTGTTGTCAGTGCTGTATGTCTGCTCATAAAAGTTTTGCTCTGTGCGTCAGTGTCATTCTGGCAACTGTGAAACTGCTCGACACAATCTGTGGCCATTCCAGCTGGTGTGTGTGTGTGTGTGTGTCTGTGTGTGTGTGTGTGTTTGCTGGATCTAATGACACACTGGCTCTGTTTTTTTCTCTGCAGAATAAAATTTACTTGTGACATGATTGATCACTTAGTCATGCTGCCAATCTCCAGTTCCACCACATCACCAAGGTGCCCTCCTGGATTCAGATCAGGTGACTCACTGTCGTGTTCATGAAACCAATTTGTGGCCATTAGGGGATGATAAACTGTGTCTATAAAGGGATGAACATGGTAAGCAGCAATACTCAGGCAGGCTGTGGCATTCAGAGCAGGATTGTTGACATTAAGGGGCCAAGAAAACATTCCTCACATCACATTACAGGTTGGATCTACGGATTCATGCTGTTGATGCCAAACTCTGACCTACCACACGTAGCCTGAGAAATTAAGATTCAACAGACCAGCTTATGTTTGGTGAGACTGTGGCCAGTTGTCTGTTTTTAGATGACAGGAGGGAACCCGACCTACAGCAATTGGATGTGCTGTTCATGCTGAGATTTTTAGCTCAGCACAGTAGAAAATAATCAGAGTTTCTGTCTACAGACCTGTCACTCACTGGATGTTTTTGTTGTTCACAACCTTCTGCAGTTTAAAAACACATAGACCAGCTCAGTGGCACCAACAATCAGGTCACATCAAAGTCACTGACGCCACAGTTTTCCTCCTGAAGCTCCTGACTTGTGCCTACTGAGGCGCACTTGGTCAGAACATAATGGTCTGGCTGCTCCTCGTCATCATTCTACTAGGGATGGAAAACGCTCTGGTTTGTTTGTATTTCTAAACCAGTCGCAATCACTTTCACAATCACAGAATTGATTTTAAGATTTTACTTTTCACTTTTAAAGCTAGCCAGGCCCTTGCCCCTGGCTATATTTTAGATATGTTAACCCCGTATATCCCCACACGCAGTCTTAGATCCTCAGGTGGGTCCCTCCTGATCGCTCCAATCCAAAGACCGCTCGGCTTTGGAACGACCTACATGAGGAAATAAGGCTCGCACATTCAGTATCTTCGTTTAAATCACTTCTTAAAACCCACTTTTATAAGAGTTGCTTTCGAGTGATGTTCTCTTTTATTTCTCTTTCAGATTTTTGCCTGTTTCTTTTCCCTTTTTTATTGATACCTGCCGTCCTTCTCTCTTCTATCTTTCTTAATCTACTTTTATCTTAATTCCCCTCTGTGATGTCTTTTTAATCAGCTTTATTAGTACACCTTCCAGTAGTGACCCAGTCTGTTCTTTTCCACTTCTATTGTTTGTATTTTTATATTTTGAGTGTTTGCATGCACTTCTTATACAAGTTGTTTTCCTGTTATCTCGTCTCTGTGTTTTTTGTTTCTTTATTATGTAAAAGCACTTTGCGAATTCTGTTCCTAAAAAGTGCTATACAAATAAAGTTTATTATCATAAGGTTTATACTTTGGCGTCCCCTCAAGATAGCGACAGATGGAATTGTATTGTTGGAACATTTCAATGCAGGGAGCTGAGCTTTGTCATTAACATAGACAATAAAAAAATAATGGAAAAAATTGCAGGGCTGTCTTGCTGCAAGAATCCTCTGCAAAACTTGAAATGTTCAGTGCGGTAAGCTGCTAACCTACCACACTGTTGTTGTTTTCTGTAGTGAAAACAGTAATAACCAGACCTAGTAGAAGAGGGGAAAGGTGCCTGAAATAAGCTGCCAATAACAGGATTATACCTGCAGCCTACATCCGATGAGTCATGCTGGTACCTACATGATGCTACTTTCTGCATTTCTGCCAAATGATTGGAGAATGTTTCTGATACGGTGGCCAGTGAGTGTATGCAAATATCTGTAATCGTTGACAGAAAATTCTATTTATCGTCCGTCCGCCGACCAGTTAGCCCCAAAACAAAACCCTGTAGAAACACTGGTGGAACATATTCTCCTCCAACAAACTGCTCCTCTGCCTTCAGCTACCACTAGAGTGCAGTGGTGGGTAACTATGTAGTCATATTTTGATATGTGTTGCAGGGCTCGGAGCACCCAGGTTCTCGGTGAGCCAACCCACCCGTCCAGCCCCAACAACCACCAGCTCACCTGGAATGGGATATCAGCCATGGTCTTGGCCAGGTAGTAGGCTTTCAGACTGTACCAGTAGTTAAGATGCTCCCTCAGAAACACAGACATCTCCAGAGGAACTGCCAGATGAAGCATTAAGTGTTTACATACAGTAGAAAAATCAATATCAACTCAGACATTATGGGATGCTAAAAGTGGACCTCATTGATTAATGTGAACAGTAAACAGGATGTGAATGTGAGTCTATATTCTCCTCTTGATCGTACTCACAGGTTAACACAGTTGGCATGAGCGCTCCAAACATGAGGAAGAGCATAGAGAAGAAGAGAAATCCAGTGTTGTTAAACACCTTGCTGGCATCATTGCCAATGTTCAGATAGAGCAAACCTATTAACACACCTATGGAGATGTGGGAAATCAGTCTGAGGTGAGTCAGAACCTGAAAGCAGAAAAAAAACATCCAGTCTCAGACTCAAGCAGGATTTTTTTTTTACAGGACACGACTTAAAGTACTTGTGCTTTTGAACAGATGTCACCACCCACCTGGTCTCGACATATAGTTATGAAGGTTCTCTTGAAGAGGATACAGAACTGTGTTAGTGTGCTTGTGGCGAAGGTGTGGCTCTCTACGTGGCCGGTGTCCTGGAGAAATCAGAAGACAATCATCTCAGCACAGAAGTGCAGCAGAACATTCTGTTGTCAAAGTCAGGTTGATCTGATTTGATCTAGAAACCAACCACTTCAACCACTTCAACTACTTTCCCACAGCGGGAAACACAACGATGTAATGTATCAGCTAGTTGGTGATAATTCTATTAAGAAATAAATAAAAAGTTTAGCTTACATTCTTTAAAATATAATGATTCCCTTTTTTTTCCTGAGAGTCTATTTTGTTTGTATTATAGAATATATTTCATTATTCTGGTCTATGAGAAGACATTAATACCAAATCATATTTACACAATTAACACACAAACAAAGCAAAAATTACACAGAGGAAGAAACTGTAAAAACAAAGAATTGTTGTATGTTCAACTTTCTGACGGTCCTTGAACTAATCATGTGCCACTTCTGGAAAAAGCAAAAGGTGTACATGATGATTCTAGGTTTGTACAATTTTTGTCAATCAAAGAACTACAATTTTTTTATGACTTAACGAAGGTTAACTGATCATTCAAAGAAAATAAATCTGCAATGTTTAGTAACTCATTGTTTAGGTCATTTTCCGAGTAAACTGTAAATATTTGATAGACTTCAGGTTCTCAAATGCTAGAATCTGCTGATTATCTTTGATTTCCATCACATCCCTTAAAGGTCTTTAGCTTTTGGACTGTGGGGGAGGACAAATCAAGGTTAATGTCACACTGGGCTGCTGTAAACTGTGACAGATATTTTCATTTCTTTAATTGTTTTTTTGAACCAACAAATTCAACAATTGAAAAATTCATTGATTAATCAAACAAATATTAACTTTAGAATAATTCCCCCTTTTTGCTCTGCCTGATCCTGCTCTGGATGCAGCTGATCCAGTTTCTCTGTGTTTTACAGCTCCATGTGCTGTCCCCTTCGAAAGCTTCAGTCTAACCATGATTTGACATTTAGAAAGCTGCTCTTTGCTTAGAATATCAATCTGGCGTCTGGCACTTTAACTTATTCTGACGCCGTGTTTCTTGCTATGACAATGCGGCTGAGTCAGCAATGTTCTGCTGGAAACCTGAGGCACAGCCATATTTCTAACAGAACAGCAGCTGCAGGTTGATTTAGTTGAACAAGCCGCTGATCAGTCAATCAAATATAAAATATAGTCTAGATTCATCTGAACACTGCGTCAATGGAAGGATACAATTCAAGGAAATCTGACCGTAGTACTAAGAAGTAAACATGGTCACTGATACTGATCTGCTTCAGTTTGATTATTGACAAAGAAATAGAGCAGAATCTGACATACAGTCGTGACTCGATAATCCGTTAACAATCCAAAAACCTTGCTGTCCGACAAGTTTTTAGGAAAAATGAACGGAACCCATTAAAAACAGCCTTAACCTACCGACAGCCTTGGATTCTGACTCTGACATGACATTTATGTCACAAATAAGGATAACGGCGTATTATCTGACTGAACAATCTGACAGATTGGCTACGTTCAGACTGCAGGACTTAATGCTCAATTTGGATTTTTTTGTGAAATCCGATTTTGTTGTGAGTTCGTTCACATTTCCTATTAAATGCGACTTGTATGTGATCTGCTGTGTGAACTTCATACGACCCAAAAGCGTTCCGCACGCGCAGAAGAGGACACGACGATGTCACATGCAGCAAGCATGCTCAGTGTTTGCAGAAGTAAACATGGATGGTAACGGTGGAGCGTATCTGTCACTCCCCCACCGTCGATGGTGGAAACAGAAGTGTGACCACTAACTAAACCGGCATCAGCAGCCAAGTACTGCCTGTGTGTTCCAGCCACTTCCACCCCGTCGGAGCGCTCCCCCGGGGTGGAAGTGGCCGGAACGTGCACAAGCGCACCGGTCAATTAGGCGTGACATCCAGCGATGCGTAGTGTTCCAACAATACACTAGTTATTATACCAACTATAAACAATAAATATTAACAACAAATGAGCCTTCACACATCAAGCCCTCCTTGTATCTCGACCTCCGTCTTGACAATCCGACAGCCTTGCTATCCGACATGAAAGAAGGTTTTACATTTAGTGTCGGATTATCGAGTCACGACTGTATTTGTTCTTTATGTTACACGCCAGAACTTCTAACAGTATATCAGTATGCTCTCAGACGTTTGGACCTCACTATATGAAGCTACTACCGGCAGGCTGAGTTTACTTAAAACAACGACTGAAAGTTACTGGTCAAAGGTGGGAGAATCAATCTACCAGCACTACTATTTCTTGACACAGATACTTTTTAGATTCTCTAAGTGTTCTGCCATGAAAAGATTTGGCACAGAGCCTCAAATAAAATCCCAACAGAGTGGTATCAATGTCCTCATCTACCTCTTGGCAGCAAGTTGAAGTATATTTAGAAAATGTCAAACTATTCCTTTAATGTGTATCTCACCATCTAAACTATATCCCCGATCCTTATGAGGCTGATGGGGAGGGGGTCTGAAGTCCTGACAAAGGACTGATAGGTGGGTCAGTCGGTCACAGAGATAAAGTAAAAAGCTATTTAAACTTGGCTCTGACACAGGTAAGGCCCTTCCCCATGGCAGAGAAGATGAAGTAATAATCCTTTCAGCTCAGCGGTGCCCATTACCAAATTAATTAGCAAATAAACTAATTACCACAAAGTAATTGCCACATTTCCCAGAACACCAACACATTATCTCCTACGCACCATGGGGCACTTTGTTGCGCAGACTGACTGGCCATTGGTGTCACACTGATTCTTCTTCTCCTCTAATGCACACATTCCACCTTGGACCGCCTCGAACAGCACAGGGTTTAGGTCTCCGTATTCTCCTGACGCCACTTCAATGACTGAATCAGAGACAAAAGCAGAAAGACATGATTGATTTTGAAAATACCTTTAGACTGTTCTCAACAAAGCGTGAGAAAAACAGGGATCAATGTGAACATACTGAAGTCGGCAGGGTTGTGGTAGGTAGGACAGTAGAGGCCCAGAGTCTTCAGATAGGGGATGAGGTATGGGACTGTGCCTTTGTAGATACACTGTCCCTGGCTGAGGATGTAGAGCTGTGCAGGAACAAGACATTCAATGCTTGCAAGATCAAAATGTCAAAGGACTGTTGCAGAATAGCTGATGGCATGTTGGTGTAAAATGCATACACTGCAGTGTCTCATTAAATTAACTGATACTGAAACTTCCATCCATCCATCCATCCATCCATCCATCCATCCATCCATCCATTTTCTCATTTATTGGCAGATGCTCACCTTGTCGAACATTTCAAACAGTTTGGCACTGGGCTGGTGAATGGTGCAGATGATGGTGCGTCCTCCCAGTGCCAGCGAACGCATTAGGGAGACCACCTGGTAGCACGACACGCTGTCCAAGCCGCTGAAAACACAAAGACAAATTAAATGAGAAGTAATCTGAAAAGAACAATCCATCTACCAGCAAATTTAAAGCTCACTAATTCACAGATTGTAGCTCTTTTCTTTTATCTGTAGAGAAAGTAGAGTGAAAGAATCCCAGCCGCACTGTCTCTTGGAGTTATCGCTGAAGATCAGCTAACATTTTTAAAATTTGTTGCCAAGCATGGTGCATTCACTTAAGAGGCAGTCAAACTACGACTGTGACTAAAACAGATGTAACATTTATTGTGCCTCATTTGTGTTGTGTCAGGAGGATTTTTAGAACACGCTCAATAACATCAGTGTTGTAAGGCTGTTGTTTATTCTCTCATCTACAGTTTTAGTTTGACAGAAGTTAAAATGTCCATTTTTGCTGGAGTCTTTCAGATCTCACTCTGGCTGGTGATAATTATAGAAAGACTTACTGTATTTCAAAAGTGTTACTGATCCAGCAAACCCAAGGTTGTTCATTTTAGCCTCACAGTTGGGGAACTGTTACCGACTGAATTTGTTTTCTCAGGTGTACAATTAAAAATAGCTTTGGGCTTAATGGGTTCAATTTATCGCATCCTTTAAAAGCTGGGTCCAACAATACTTTTTTTTTTTTCTTTTTTTTTTCCCTAAGATATATTTATGGACTTTTCTGCCTTTAATGACAGTTGACAGTTTAAGATGCAACAAATGAGCCGCTGGCAGGAATCGGACCGCAGCCGCTGCATCAGAGACTATAGCCCCTGTACATGGATCGCCCGCACAACCTGTTGAGCTATCTGGGTCCAACAATACTTTTAAAAGAGAATTCTATCATACTACAACTGTCTTTTGGCTTGGCAACCCCTTCTAATGTTCATATTACCACTGTACTCACCAAGGTCATTGCTGAGATCTAACTACACTGCGTCACAGTGTGAAAAGCTTGATTGTTGAGAAGAGCATTAGGTAAACCAGTCACATAATCCACAGCATTGTATTTGGAGCAGAAATCAAAGTGTTTATAAGCTGTTTGGCATGGTCAATGAGTCAAAGTTTAAAGAAATGGGTTTAAAAGACAAGCAATTGTTCCTCACTCCTTTCTATTCCAGATGAACGTCTAATCTGAGTAAACCTGATGAAAAAATACCTGATACACTGATAAAACTGCTTGTATTTCTTGTCCCATCTTACTAAATACAATTTTATTGCGACTAAGCCTCTCAAGTTCCAATAGACCTGGGTTAGTCTGAGGTGTACTTTAGACCAGGGATCTCCAACTCCGTCCTCGTGAGCTACTGTCCTGCAGGGTTTAGACGTTTCCGTACTGCAACACACCTGACTCAAATGAATGGATCATTAACAGACTTGTGTAGAACTTGACAACAAGCTGTTGGAGATCCATTAATCTGAGTCAGGTGTGTTGCAGTACGGAAACGTCTAAACCCTGCAGGACAGTAGCTCACGAGGACGGAGTAGGAGATCCCTGCTTTAGACATTATGAGGACTGCAAATACAGAAACTTCTGGAACTCTGCTAAGCTGTTAAGACTTTGTTTTCTTCTTTCCTAAAAGAGTTCAAGAAAAAGCTTGGATCCCAGAGTGAACAACTGCCCTTATTTGCCAGATGGTATCACTATGATTAAGAGGATAATTACACCATATGTCCAAATGTCACAAGACTCATTACAAATATGCAGCCAGATGTGCTGTCTGGACTGAGTCTACCTTTGGCTCATAATTTTCTCTGTTCTCTAACAAAAGAATTCAAAATTTCAAAGCCCAAGTTCACATTGGAATCCATTAGAAATTAATAACAATAATTAATGTACTTGGCAAAGTACATTAGTGGAAACTATGAAGACATAGGCCACACCAGCAGTAATCTAACCGAAGACTTCTCATTTGATGAAAGTAAATCTTATTTAATTAAATTTTCGAAAAAAATTCAAGGTCAGTCTTAAATCTGCATTTATTCATGAGCAGCACATCGCTGCCTGTCTGACTTACCTGGTGGGCTCATCAAAGAACATGACTGGAGGATTGTTGACCAGTTCGAGGGCGATGGCCAGACGTTTACACTGACCTCCAGACAGCGAGCTGGTACGAGTGTGAGCACAGTCAAGGAGCCCTAAAGCAGTCAGAATCTCATTCACCTGAACAGGGAACATGAGAGAGAAAAAGACAAAAAAAGTTCATCGAATGACAAATGTTCTGACATTTCTGCTCACGAGCCCACTTTGACAAACAGGTGACGGAGAAACGAGCATTAAAATGCCAAGTGGGGATAAGAATGGTGTTGTATAAACTACAGATGGAAAGCAACACGTCTCAGGATGGATTTTTTTGTCTTTTTATCTCTGTCTGCTGGCCCCTGGCTGGAGTCAAACCTGATATATTGCGATTCCATGGCACTAATCTTTTCGTTTTAGGCCACCAGCATTTCCCATCTGCTACTTATGATAAATGTCCTTTGACAAATTAGAGTCGTTCCTAGTGAAGATGTCACAATTATCATATATCAACAAGACAACAGAGAGCCCATGCTGTCATCTCATTGTGACCTTCAGACAGCCTCACTACCATTTTCTTTTCTTTTTCTTTGCAACAAAACATAGGACAGCCGGTATCACATACACCACTTTGGAATGCGTTTGCTTCTTTACATTCTTGTTTCCAGAAGTCTGCCCCTGGCTCCTCCTTCCCGGCAACAAGCTATGATTGGTCAGGGATGAACATGTGATCTCTCAGCCACAGTCGCCACAGGAATGTATGGCACCGTAATCACCTGTGACCATCTCATCACACACAACTACTGCGTAGTCGGATCACAGCATGGGTTTGTATTAACTTTAAACGGTAACAGTAGATTTATATTGGAAAATATATATTCTTAAACAATACCTGAGGTAGCTCATAATGCAGCCCACAAAGGGCAATGTCAGCTGACAAAGAGCCCAGTGTCCACAACCTTGGCACATTTCATCTAAAGTGGTTAGGTGTGTCAACAGCGTGGCGTGTGTCAACAAAAATTGGGCAAATTTCCATATTAACTGGGACTGGCAGGTTGAGATTAAATATGGCTTAGATGTGTTTGAGGTCATGGTTTGGTATCCAAGGGCAGGTGTTGCTGTTGCCTATTTTCTGTGCATGTTAGATGTTAAATGTTTAGAATCAAAATCAGAAATACTTTATTCACCCTGAGGGGAAATTGGTTGTGTTACAAATGCTCCCATTCAAAGTCAGAAATATAAACGACACAAAATATACAGATAAACGTGAGTAGAAAATCCATCCATCCATCCATTATCTATACACCACTTAGTCCTCAGTAGGGAGGCTGGAGTCTATCCCAGCTGACTCAGGATGAAGGCAGGTTCACCTGGACAGGTCACCAGTCTATCACAGGGCTACACTTAGAGACAGACAACCAAGCACACTTACATTCACACCTACGGACAATTTAGAATCACCAATTAACCTCAACATGTTTTTGGACTGTGTGGGAGGAAGCCGGAGAACCCAGAGAGAACCCACACTGCACGGGGAGAACATGCAAACTGCACGCAGAAAGATCCCGGGTGTCCTCACCGGGACGCAAACCAGCAACCTTCCAGCTGTGAGACAATGGTGCTAACCACTGAGTCACCTTGCAGCCCTAAGTAGAAAATATGAACTAAAAATATAAACAAACAATATGTCCTAAAAATATAAACCTAAGTAGAAACAGCATAAGCATAAATGTAGATTGTGCTTTCCTAAGAAAACCATGTGTAGTATACAGTGTAATAACTAGTGTGGTATTGCACACACTATTAACTCACCAGTTCTTTCTTCACATCCATAGTTTCATCCAGCTTTAAGTTGGCTGAGACCTGCAGCAAAGAGCAAACGTGTGCCATAATCATGTAATATAAAAGCTAACGTCGGTGCAACTTGGCAAAGTAATGACCCTTTTCAAAATGTTTAAATAACACACAATCATTTCTATAATTACTACAGTCATCAGAAAGTTTCAAAACAAACAAATTCTCTAAACCTGAGTTGAAATATTGATCAGCAGCTCACCATCATGGCCTCCCTGGCAGTGAGGTGTGGCAGCAGCATGTCTTCCTGCATGATGTAGCAGGACATTTTCCTGAATTTCCTCAGGTCCCTGGGTTTCCCATTTACCAGGATCTGACCCTTCATCCCTGTTTCCCTGAGCAGCATGAAGGACAAACACCTCACGGTTTAGTGGGCAACAGACTATTGTGAAAGGGACTGAACACATGACACACAGACACTGGTTCCTACAGCACTTGTACTACGCTGTGTACACTGTGCTAGCTATGCCATATGTTTGCACCAGAAACCCCTAATTTGTCTCATAACTTCGAGGACATAATTTCAGCTCTTTCACCTTGAGTATGAGTCAGTCTTTGCTCTCTCACCTGTATCCAGCTAGAATGTTCATTAAGGTGGACTTCCCAGCCCCCGAGGGCCCCATGATTCCTATCAGCTCTCGACTGCAAAACCTTCCAGACAGGCACTTCAATAAGGCTTTGAAACCTGGAAACAACACAGTAAGCGTTCATGACACAAAAAGAACAAAGAAAATATCGTATTACTTGAGAAAGACTCAAGCAGAATAAACACGAAGGCTTTGAGGCTAATTCTGAGAGTGTCACTAGGAACGGATGCATCCATCAGTGAAAGAGAAAACAGAAAAATGTACAACACTGAACCCTGTAAACTTAAGATACAAATCAAGATGAAAGAAAAACACTGATGTCATCGCAAGGCAGGCTGCTCCACAGATGCAGGTGGTAAAAGACAAATGGCATTCAGCAGATGAAATATTAACAGCACTCATATTTGTCAAGATAACACACAACAACATTAATAACACCAGCTGTGAGTGATGGGGTCAAGCGTCTGATCGGTAAGTGAGAGCTTCTGTAGACAACACAGCGTACTGTCTGGGTGCCAAAAACTGACTGAGTTCAATCTTAACTTGCACTTCAAACTTACACCGTCATAGTTTATCAGATCTGCTCTGCTGAGGGCCCATTATGATATAAGTTAGAAATGACATAATAACCCAGCTGTAGAATTTCCTCTCAGTCAAACAGGAAAAGATCTGATCTCTGTTTAGTCGATGAGTAGTTACACTAAAGAACGCTGTACGGTATCAGATGTTGTACTTAAGTCTAACAGCATTAACACAGAGTGCTCATCTGCATCAGCTTTCAACATGATATTGTTTACAACCTTCAAGAGCAGCTTATCTCTGCTATGCTGTAAAAAATGCAGAAAACAAAAAAAAAAAAAAAAGAGGATCGTGCACAAACTGTGCTCCCTCACATAATATGGGGTTTTTCAATTTGGCCTCGAGCCGACAGCAGACAGATGTTTTGGAAAAGACTCAGTTCAACACCAGCAAGCAGCACCTTTGTCCTGAAACAGCCTGGTTGAGCCCATGGGGTTCTTAGTTGGTGTATCCTTCCTCTTGTGTCTGTCCTCAGTAAAGCAAAAGTGTGTTTCTGATTTTTGCTCTGCTGCCCGACCCATGAATATTTTACAACAGAGATAATCAGTTTCTACAAAATCAATTGCTTTTTCCCTCCCAGAGAGCGTTTACTCAAATTAGGGTTAAAGCTAAAAGCAAATATACTTAACATGCATAAATAGTACAAGCCATTGTCAATATTTGATGTATGTGACATGCATATCTACCAGATTAAGGTTTCATGGAGTATATAGATGCTGTCAGACTGACAACAGCAATACATTAAACAAAGCAGCACTGAACTGAATGAGCAAAGACAGCAGGTTTGGTTTTTGAAGGACAGTGCTGCTATTTTTCTGTCTGAAAACCTCAAAAACAACTCGCAGTGGCTCTCATGTGACATTGTGATGTAAACATTTATATGTACTTATATCCTGACATGTTTAGATGCAAGTGAGTCTTGAGGAAATACTACAATGTGCAGTCACACAACTGAGAGATGAACTGAAGTCCCAGCGAGTGTTTTACTGAGTGTACCTGACTCTGGGCTGGGCTGGGATGTTTGCTCAGTGTCAAAGGTTTATTAGCTATAAGTCAGTCTGTNCTGATTCAAATGATCAGCTCATCATCAAGCTCTGCAGAAGCCTGATAACGATCCTGATCATTTGAATCAGGTGTGTTGGAAGATAGAAACATGTAAAACATGCAGGATTGTGGCCCTCGAGGACCAGGATTCGACACCCGTGGTCTACTTCTTTCTACCAAATGCTACAATGTGTTTTTGTTGCGAAAGATAGCTGAAAATTAAAAATTATACGGACTGGGACATTATGACCTAAAGTTGGACAGATGGTTGCTTTTATTGATCTATTTCATAGTTGTTCTTGAAGCACAAAAGTAATTATGCATTTGCATCTCATGCACATTCATCAGATCTATATAAACGCGCAGCTATGTTTTAAGTTTCTTACGTAATAATATAAAGAACATTTTACGTCCTAGCCATGAAATTTCACACAATCCATGTACAGGGTTCCTACACATTTGAAATTTCAAAATTCCATACTTTTTCCAGACCCTAATTTCCAGACTTCTCGGTAAAAAAAAATTCAAATAGTGAACTTAGTTCACTTGATGTTGTCGGGCTTGATCTCATGCTGGGTTTAGCCAAAAACGCTGTGACAAGACGAAAATGTTTTTTCCCTGCATATGACTCACAACCGCCGCCTCCCCCATGTCGGAGATGTCAAACGATTTCACACAAAGTCTGCATTTAGCTTTCTTTATCCATTCAGGATCCTTATCCAACCAGTCTTTATATTTGGGATTTATGAGCCAGTCTTCAGAGAATTTACATTTACCCATTATGAGTTCTGTCAACGACCATACAAGAAATTTTGAATAGCTCACTCACAAACTTTGTGGACATCACCTGTCTGTCGAAGCAGCAGTGAAACTTAACGACACCTGGGCGAGCCAATGGGTTGGAAGAGGATAAGAGCAGAGGGCGGGCATTCAACTTGTCAATCTGCCCAAATGTTTTCTGGGACGCGTAGCCATGGATCTATTATATGAACGCGTATCCTACAGTTTGCTCTCACACAAACATTTTAGCTGCGCTACTAAGGGCCTTAAAAACAGATACATCTATTTCTTTTCTTAGATATTCATAATTGTGTGTTTTAGAAAATAGAACTGCAGTAATAGTCTTGGAAACATGAATATTTTTCCATACAACAGTTTCCATTTTCCAGACTTTTCCAGACCTGGAAATTTATAAAATCAAATTCCATACTTTCCATACCTACGTAGGAACTCTGCATGTACAAAATCTTAAAGCATGCAGTTTTTGAGGAAACTGTGCTACTCCTGAGACAAATGTAAATAATCTGGGAGAAAATGTTGATTCAAAATATTTCGTAAATACCAAATATGTCTGAAGTTTAGAATAAGTATTAGTACAAATATGTCTGTGACTTAATGCAACCCTGTTACTCTAATTTCAGCCCTGTCATTTTAATTTAAAAAAATATATCATAAATGAATTTCTCGGCTCACAAGGATTTGACCTTTAAAGAGTTCAAGTAATTATATGCATAATGTTTGAAAATAAATACTGAAATAAGTAAAGAGAAACATGCCAATATTGAAAAGTTGGGAAAGGTAGATTCCAAAAGTTACTTAATTTAAATCACGTCACATCTGAAATCAAATGGTTATTAGGTTATAATGTTACTTTCTATACTTAATGGGAATTATAGTTAAGAAATAAATGAATCTACCTTTTTCAGGTACCTGAATGTTGGTAACAGGGTGTATAGCAAATAGCAAACAACAAATAAAACATACAATAAAACATATGGATTAGATACCTGAACTGAGCCAATCAAGATTTTTATAGTTGATTACCTATTATTGATAAATATATAACAGAAAATTGAAAAAGAGAAGGTTTATTTTTCAAAATTTTTGAAGCCCAAATGTCCTCCGATTCTGGAATGACCCACACGGTCAAATTTATATAGAGTTTATTAGATTAGTGAGAGCATCCTTCATTTTTCTAAAGGTTATGATTTCACTTGTCCATTTATTGTAAAAAATTCAAGCCTGCAATGGAATATTCATCACATTTCCGAGAAATGACTTTGCATGTTAACGCTGCTACAGTTGCTTAGACCTTCCTCTCCTGGGTCTGGTGTGAAGTTGGTGTTGGTTGGTGCTAATGTTTCGTATTGATCACAGGGATACTCTCATCTAACACTGTTATTGTTTCAAGTAACAGTGAACTGCTGCTGTCATCAAAGGACGGAGAAACTTCTCAAATTCACTGGGTGTCTCATTTACATGCTGTTGGGACACATTCTATACTGTGGTGTGCAAACACAGTCACAGAGCTCATTATGGAGCTTTACTGAACAAGTTCAAACACATGAATGAGACCTCAGAGTAGAACTGAGCTGCACATCCATAAAAAGCTAAATGCAATTGTTGATCATCTACAGAAGTGTTTACCTTAAGTTTCTTTGAGGCATTAAAGTAAATTCCATTTGAATATGCTGGCAAACACTAGCCTTCAATGCTCCTCACCTGAATTAACACTCCCCTCCTCCCCTCTGTCCTTTGGTTCACCCAGTCAGATGCATTATTGATGTCCAAACCTGCCTCAGATAATGCAGCACTTACTGGAAACCTCAAAGGGTACACTCTTTATATCAGACTCATGGATAGAGACCAGCTAGTTCACAGCATCTAACATTTCCTGAACACTGATACTCTGGTCTCCAAACGTTGTCCCTTTGCACTTTAGGGAGAACGTCAAAACACTACAGTGCTCTAAATGTTGACTGAGTAAGTTGCTCGAGTGGAGGAATTAAGTCAAACAACTGAGTCATTTCTGTGTGGACAGGTAACAGGAGCTTTGTTTTGTTCGCTAGAGCACAGTGCAAAGGTTGAGGACTGATTGATGCTTGAGGCTGTCAGAGTGAAGGAGAAAACATATTGTTGTTGTTCCATTAGAGGCATGACTTGAGGATGATGTCAGTTGGTCTTTGGAGGTTTTGGTCAAGAGGGAAATACAATCAAAAACTCTGGTTTAAAAGCAACAGAGTTTGTTGTACAAATATATGTTAATCAGGGTTTCTGTGGACGCTTGCCTCATTTAGAATTGTTTAATTTCCTCTTTAGTTTTGTGTTCCAGTCAAACATACAAATATTCTTATTTATGTTATCTACGGTCATCTGGAAAAATATTAAAATCAACATTAAACAAGCAAACCTTTGATCCTCCTACATACATACATAAAGTGCCTATAGATGAAGGCGATATTAAAAAAATACATTATACAACATTTTGTAGTGATTTTCACAATTTAAAGAGGCACAAAACAATAGCATGGAAAAGTAGTTTAACACGTCCTCAATCAAATTAGGATCAGAGGTTCCAGATTAAGTGTCAGTGATTACGACTCAGTAGAAGGTGACCGGTTGACCCTGTCCTATTTAAACCCCACCTGCTGCTGTCTCTGCTATTTAAGCTATTGTGGTGTCATCATGCCAAGAAGTAAGGAACTCTCTAAGGTCTTCAAAAAAAAAAGAAAAAAAGTGGATAACCCAGTCTGACAACGGATTTAAAAAGATCTTCAAACAGGAAGACTATCTATGAGTGGTGTAGGTTTCAAATGACTGCCAGTTTGTCCACGACTATCCGCTTCAGTCCAAGAGTAGAATGTTTGATGCAAAAAGAATCTCTGAGAAGCTCAAAGGTTCGATCACAGGATCTGCTGGTGTCAAAGTGCTGCATCTACCATCAGACAGGGATCACGCTTATTTGGCCTGCTGGGGGCGACGTGACAGGACAAAAAAATCTCTGTAGAGCAAAGCTACAGTTTGCCATTGAAGATAATGAACAGGCCTTTTGGAATAATGTGTTCTGGACAGATGAGCCAAAGACAGAGTTGTCAACTAAACCCTCAAACATATTGCAAATGGGCAGTTTTGCACAAAGTAGTATTTAAAAAAAATGTGATCAATTCCAGGGCAGAGACTAGTGGTCAATAATACAAAAAGTCAACATGATATTATTTCTGCTACTAACTTCTATGGCCATTTACTTTTTTCATAGAATCTGTTGATATTTTGTTAAATAAATGATTGAAAATGCCAAATGTCCCTGAGGTTTTGTGCAAGTATACCATCTTCATCTTTGCATTGCACTTATTGCATTGTACTCATTTGTTCGCATGACTATTTCAATGAAGATGCAGCAATTGGAGCCTGGATCATTACCTCCAGTGCACATGGTTAAAGTAAATCATTTTGATTTGTATTGAGTAAAATAGACACAGTGGTAGCACATGTGCATTGCTACTACGTTATGACTATGATGTGCAGTGCGCATTGATCATCTATATGAAATCCATGGACACTGATGGATCCTATGGAGGGCAGTATATCAGAAACCATCAGTCCTCCTCTCCCTCTTCTGCTTTCTGCATGTGGGGAAATCATCTGGACAAGAAAGATCAATGGAGATCAGGGTTCGCCCCAATAACTGCAAGCATCAGGGCCGCAGTCAATCAGTCAGTCAGTCATGTCCTACTGCTTCAGTTTACTGTTGTTTCTGAATGATCAAGAAGAAAAAAAAGTAGAGAGAAATATTCCCAGTAAGAGCATTTACTCTGACTGTCACTTGCAGAGAGCAGAAGGACTGCAGGACCAAAGGGAGGTGAGTTATTCTCCTCATGCAGACGAGGACAAACAGAAGAAAGAGAAAGGCTGGCATTAAACTGTCCAGGACACTTCTTACTACATGCTCACTGTGTTCTAATTTGTTCATGGCTTCACAAACATATGTCTAATTTCAAATAATCCATGAATTCTGGCATTTAGCTGCAACTACAGTCGTGACTCGATAATCTGACCCTTAACAATCCGAAAACCTTGCTATCCAACAGGTTTTGAGGAAAAACGAATGGAACCCATTAAAAACAGCCTTAACATACCGACAGCCTTGGATTCTGACTCCGACATGACATTTTATGTCACAAATCAGGATGACGGCGTATTATCTGACTGAACAATCCCACAGATTGGCTACGTTCAGACTGCAGGACTTAATGCTCAATTCAGATTATTTTTGTGAAATCTGATTTTGTTGTGAGTTCGTTCACATTTCCAATTAAATGCGACTTGTATGTGATCTGCTGTGTGAACTTCATACGACCCAAAAGTGTTCTGCATGCACAGAAGAGGACACGACGACGTCACACGCAGCGAGCAAGTGTTTGCGGAAGTAAACACAGATGGTAACGGTGGAGCGTATCTGCCACTCCTCTGCTGCTGCTGCCACACGCCCACCGCCACCGATGGTGGGAACAGAAGTGTGACTGCTGTCCTAAACTGGCATCAGCAGCCAAGTACTGCCTGTGTGTTCCACCGCCGGGGTGGAAGTGTCCCCCCCGACTGCGCCAAATATTCGGATCTTTGTCTCATCAGACCAGAGAATTTTGTTTCTCATGGTCTGAGAGTCCTTCGGGTGGATTTTGGCAAATTTTAGGCGGGCTGCCATGTGCCTTTTACAAAGGAGTGGCTTCCGTCTGGCCACTCCACCATAGAGGCCTGATTGATGGATTGCTGCAGAGATGGTTGTCCTTCTGGAAGGTTCTCCTCTCTCCACAGAGGAACGCTGGAGCTCTGACAGTGACCATCAGGTTCTTAGTCACCTCTCTGACTAAGGCCCTTCTCCCCCGATCACTCAGTTTAGACAGCCGGCCAGCTCTAGGAAGAGTCCTGGTGGTTCCAAACTTCTTCCATTTACGGATGATGGAGGCCACTGTGCTCATTGGGACCTTCAAAGCAGCAGAAATTTTTCTGTATCCTTCCCCAGACTTGTGCCTTGAGACAATCCTGTCTCTGAGGTCTACAGACTGTTCTTTTGACTTCATGCTTGTTTTGTGCTCTGACATGCACTGTCAACTGTGGGACCTTATGTAGACAGGTGAGTGCCTTTCTAAATCACGTCCAGTCAACTGAATTTACCACAGGTGGCCTCAAGTTAGGCTGCAGAGACATCTCAAGGATGATCAGTGGAAACAGGATGCACCTGAGCTCAATTTTGAGCTTCATGGCAAAGGCTGTGAATACTTATGTACATCTGATTTCTTAGTTTTTTATTTTTAATAAATTTGCAAAAATCCCCCCAAAACTTTTTTCAAGTTGTCCTTATGGTGTATTTTGTGTAGAATTTTGAGGAAAAAAATGAATTTAATCCATTTTGGAATAAGGCTGTAACATAACAAAATGTGGTAAAAGTGAAGCGCTGTGAATACTTTCTGGATGCACTGTATGTTCTGAACTGTGCTACACAAATACAATTGAATTGAATTAAAAAGCTGAATTCTATAGATATTGTATGTCTTACATTTTTAGAACCTTGACAAACCCTGTGTGCTACATTAGTGTCTGCACATCAAACATAGAAAGATATTTCGTCATGCTGAGTGTATTTTCCAAAACACACTGAAATCCTGCTCTATGTGCACCATTTATGAGCCGTGCTGCATTTCTTTTTCGCTCCAGAATGTTCTATTTTGCTCTCCGTCTCTCTAAATTGTTTCAGTACTTGTCTCTGATCTGCTCTGTGTGAGCACAACCTGCAGTTTAGCCAAAAAGTCCCTGAATGTTTGTCATGTGGCTGTTTGATGCAGCTTCTGGCTTCTCAGTTGCACCAAAAGAATTTTGAGCAGGACACGTTTTGCAAATGTTTTTGTGGCTTTGGAGAAAAAATAACTTTTACTGAAATGTCATGATTCCAAGCTTAATTTTGGGTAATCTTCTTGACAAAACTACATATCACATGAGTAATTCATTGACTTGAAAGATAAAAATCTGATGTTTTTTTTCTGTTTTTTTACAGTTTCTAGCTCTGAAGAACGGTGTAATTTTGAACGATTTATAAAAGATAACATGCTTTTTACACCCGCTGGTAGGACAGAGCTGATGTTGCACTCTAACAATGAATTTAGATTTAAGACACTTGGAAATGATCAGCTTCGTTGGAACTGCAAAACATCCTGAGAAGAGTTGTGAAGATTTGGACAACACATTTGGGGACAGATTGCAAATGCACTAGAAAACCCACACAAATTTCTTGAGATATTTTTCACATTATTCACCACCAAACTGGGTCAATTATAAGTCGTTCAATTGTAAATCCAAATATAATATAAAGACAATTAATGCCTGATTATTCTTTATTTTCTCACTCACCTGTGACCCTTGAATTAAGTATTTGTTAAATAATCTTGATGCATACTAGATTGTGTGCCTATTTTCACTCCTTTAAAAAAAAAAAGATTAGATAGTGCTTGTTTATACAGAAGCCGAGAGCGGTCATGGCCACACATTTTCGGCATTCCACGGCGTTCGTTTTCTCGAGATAACGAGATAATTAGCCTGTTGAGAGTTTCGGCTGTCACTTCAGCCTTCATCAGAAGTTGTCGGACTTCCTGGTGTGACGTATCTTATATAGACAGCTGACCGGGAACGCCGACATGACGTGTCATGAGAACAGCTGACCCAGGTGTGTGGAGGTCCCACACACCTGGGATTCCATCCTGGACTGGGCACGAGTGGGCAAACACAAACACCAATTACCTCGTTATCTCGAGAAAACGAAGTTGGTTTTCTCGAGATAAATTATCTCATTTTCACGAGAAAACGAGTCTTGTTATTCCGAGATAAAGAGAAAATTAACTCGAAGAAAAGAACAGTAGCGGAAAACGACCGCTCTCGGCTTCCGTAGGTTTACTTGCAGTATATATCTTTTTTTTTTTTTTGGTTATTATTTTCTGGCCTTTTTGCCTTTATTAGTCAGGATAGTGAGAGAGCGAGACAGGAAAGTGGGGCTGGTCCGAATAGCAATTTCTGTTCTCTGGATATTCGGCCCAATTAATATTCTGAGATCAAACTTGCTATCCCGATACCAGCACAGCGAACGAATAGTCGGCTATTTGGGTCCAGCCCTACAGGAAAGTGGGGAGAAGACCTGCAGCAAATAGTCATGAGCGGGACTCGAACCCACGACTGCTGCGTCAGGGACTATAGCCTCTGTTTATGGGTGGCCCGCTCAACTAGGTGAGCTATAGGGGCGTCCGCAGTTTATATCTTTACTCATTTAAAAAGTGCTTAGGGTAGACATGGCTTTTTTAAGGACTGTGTATAAAGGACGGGTAGTTTCGTGTTACCTCTCCTCCTCCAGCTCCTCCAGCATGGTCCCTCCTGGATGGTGTAGGAGACGTTGATGAACTCCAGGTCCACGGCCGAGCGTTTGGGTAGGTGGGAGAAACGCTGCGCATCAGTGATCTGGTTCTCAACCTTCTTCAGGTGGGTCAGCATGGACGCATCCTGCTGCAGCTGAGGCTGAGCTACAGGCGGGCTGCCTCCATTACACAGGACGGCCTCCTCCATGGGGAGACTCACAGAATCAGGTTCCAAGGCCTTATTGTCCATACCAGCTCTCTGACTGAGGGAGGAGAGGGGAAGTACAAGAGCAGAGATAAGAAAGGAGAAAGAGAAGCGAGGTCATACTTCATTATCTGCTGACATTTCTAATTTTACACCTGCAACTGGGGATTTGGTGCATTGCTAGCATATTTGGAGGTCACTTAATAAAAGTTCTCCATCAACACTGAAACAACAGAGCAGCAGGGAAGTTGAGCCAGCCTGCAGCTATACCAGTGCCAAAAAAACTGAAGGAGGCTACTTTTTTGTTGGTTGGCTTTTTTTCAAGGCATTGCTTGTTGTTCACATGAGGACTGTACAGATGAATGAACTTGACAGTGAGTGCAACAGCTTTAGAAGGCAATAAACACAAGGCTGCAACAGAATGCCCACTGCGAGTGGCACAAAGTCAAACACAACAACATTTTGAACCTTTGGTGTCTCAGTAATATGTCACTTTTTCGTGCACTTCGGTTTCCCCGTCCACACCACCGTACAATATAAAGCTGGTAACTTTCTCCATTTTCATAGCTGGGAAATCAGAAACAAAGAGGCAATTGTGGGTTGTTAAATTAATTGACTTCAGGGACGCTTACACCTGCCCACACAGACATAACATACTGCATATATGCAACCAGAACTCATGTAGCTCAGTATGTTGTTTGGATTCCAGACAAATGATGTGTTCAGATACAGGCCTGAACGATAAATCTGGTAGCTACTGCAAATCACAGACTTTACCTCAAAAATGAGCCTTTGGCATTTCATTTCTTCACAGTATGCACGCATAGACAAAAACCACAGACAGAATGCAAATAGAAAACGCTAATAAATCACAAAATTGACAGTGCAAGTTATTTCTAAAAGGAGAAGTGTTGGTGCTTATAGCTGGGATAAGATGAGGGTAAAGTCAGGACAAATTCCAAAGAAATGTTTTGCAAAGATGAGAACGTGGTGTACTAGCAATGAGTAAAGAAGTATTCAAACAGAGTTGGCTAAATATGGAGTTTTGATTCCTGATCAGTAGACCATTGAAATTAAGCCTTTTAAAACTAAGTTAAGCTCTAGGGATGGCAGTTTCCTCCATCACTAATGTTTCCCACCAGATGGATGGCAGTTGTCTGTATTTTCTTTTAGTGCCACCCTGAGGTCAAAATTTGTCCAATACTGACTCGATAATCGGACACTAAATGTAAAACCTTCTTTCATGTCGGATAGCAAGGCTGTCGGATTGTCAAGACGGAGGTCGAGACACAAGGAGGGCTTGATGCTTGAAGGCTCATTTGTTGTTAATTATTGTTCATAGTTGTTACAATAACTAGTAGGGCTGGTCCCAATTGTACTTTCTGGTCTCTGGATATTCAGGCCCAATTAATGATGAATATCAGTGTTGGGGGACACTTCCACCCTGGGGGAGCACACCGACAGGGTGGAAGTGTCCAGAACGCACAGACAGTACTTGGCTGCTGATGCCAGTTTAATCAGCGGTCACAGTTCTGTTTCCATCATCAGTGGCGGAGGGGGAGCGGCAGTTACGCTCCACTGCTACCATCCATGTTTACTTCCACAAACACTGAGCACGCTCGCTGTGTGTGACGTCGTCGTGTCCTCTTCTGTGCATGCGGGACACTTTTGGGTCGTATGAAGTTCACACAGCAGATCACATACAAGTCGCAATTAATTGGAAATGTGAACGAACTCGCAAAAAAAAATCAGATTTCACAAAAACATCCAAATTGAGCATCAAGTCCTGCAGTCTGAACGTAGCCAATCTGTCGGATTGTTCAGTCAGATAATACGCCGTTATTCTTATTTGTGACATAAAATAAAAAAATGAAAACATACCAACAGCCTTGGAATCCAAGGCTGTTGGTATGTTTTCATTTTTGATGGGTTCCGTTTGTTTTTCCTAAAACCCTGTCAGATAGCAAGGTTTGTAGATTGTTAAGGGTCTGATTATCGAGTCACGACTGTAGTGTGTCCCACAAACTTTTAGCTATATCATGTGGTGAAGGTGGTGGCTTTACTGACTTTATCCATAAAGCACATTTCATTTTGTTAATACTCTTTGTCCCTTTTTTTTGCATAATCAGGGACATTCTCTTGCTAAAGAAGTTGCTTTTGATTAGATAAAGTCTGATATGTTTCAGAAGTCATCCATTATCAGCAAAGGCACATCCAGTGACCACAACAAGTGCAAGAAATAATAATGTAAGAGAAAGCGGGCAGTTTTCTCAGAAACCTAGGGTCCTTACCAAAGCGTCACTGTTAACAGATAAACAGACACATGAACCAGACGGAGACTGAGCCTTGTCTCCCCTCTGCATCGTGCTGATGATGCAGAAACTGTGGTGAATAACCGTATTTCTCAGGAGGCTGTGTGTGCGCGTGCATGTGTGACTAAGCAGAAACCCAATGCCTGGTAAGCACAGACTGCTCAATAACACTTATGATAAAGACATTTGTGGTCAAGTATCTCAGCTGTGTGAACAAATCAACCACATCTCATGTGAACTGCAATCCAGTTAGGGAGAAACAGCGCAAGATGTATTGTGCTGTTCTCACCCTGCAGTATGAAGTCCGACAAAATGGTGGTTGGGTGCACACAACACATAAATAACACAGTCCAGAGTGTGTCCAGAGCATCCTGTCTCCCACATCAAGTCAACATCCATTCATCCATTATCTCTACACCACTCAATCCTCACTAGGGTCATGGGGGGCTGGAGTCTATCCCAGCTGACTCAGGGTGAAGGCAGGGGACACCCTGGACAGGTCACCAGTACCCCACGCTGCACGGGGAGAACATGCAAACTCCACGCAGAAAGATCCCGGGTGTCCTAACCGGGATGCAAACCGGTGACTTTCTAGCTGTGAGGCAACGGTGCTAACCACCGATCCGCCTTGCAGGACATAACTGCTTCAATTTATTTCAATTTTATTCATATAGTTCAAGTTTGAAACATAGGTCAAGACCTTTAACAAAGACAGGAGAAGACCCCACGCAGAAAAATCCAACGAATCCAGAGATTCCTTTGGATTCCCTTTAAGCAACGACTGACAATCTTAAAAAATACAACTAATCTAGTAATCAACTAATCGTTGCAGCGCTACATAAATATTTCTCCATTATAAACCTGCAATATTGTTGGCATTACATTCCCTTCAAATAAACACTTTCCTGAAACTCGGTTAGTCTGATTAGGAGTTTAACAAAGTAAAATTCAGTCCTGCAAAGTATTCATAGCAACTACTAAAGAGACCACTTGATTTTTCAAAATCTGACTGCTTAAGCTATTTAGTCTTCTGAACCTTTGGCCCCATTCAAACGTGTTTTTTTTCCACAATGGGAGGTGGGGTGATTTTAATATTTCTTGCACTGAGCAGTTGATTTTAATCCAGTTTTGAGCACATACGTGGGTAAATTGTCCACCACCACCCCACTCCCCAGTAATACTTACAGTCGGAATAACCTGCTGCTTTTCAGTGAACATGCCTGGAGCAATGCCCTTACATTTCAATGTGACTCTCTAGGTTTGTTGTTTGTAAGGCCCTCATTCCTTATTGATTATGTGACTCCAATCTATAGACCTTTAGGGGTAAAAATGGGCAATGGAAAAAATTAAAAACCATCATAGGAGCTACTGAAGGTCAACATAGCTTACATGAGTCTCCTGTGAAATGTTCAATGCCCCTTTCGTTTGGACTTTACAAATGTTAACTGTGAATACCCAGATGATATCCTCATAAAATTAAAGCATGAAACTTATGGCACTTTCCACCCTCGTCGGCCGCCATCTTAGCTATGTAGTGGAAGTGGAGGGGCCTCCAACCAATTTTCAAACTTGTAAAATATCTTTGTAAAACTGCTCCATTTCCTAAAATTATCCTAAATGTAGTCAGTCAAAAAGCAGACATGTGTGTGCAATTATTGCAACAGATGGCGTTTATGGTGAGCTGACCTGACAAGTAACTCCTAAAAGCTCCAATGCAAAAAGCCATAGATTCGGACAGTGACTACGATTAGTAGTTAGTCCAGCTTTAGGATTCGGTTTTAAAGATTTGTTCGCACATGACCTGAGCACCTCCGCTGGTTACAGTTCATCATTAGTCCAACTTCAGTGTAAATATATATACGTTTTCCTGGGAAAAGACAGCTTAGGTATGACCAACGTCAGACAAAATCCATTTCCATTGTCCTGGCAGGACTCTAAGCAGCAGAAATATGCAATCTACCCTGTGATCGCGAGGTGATTAATGATCATCGAAATGGAGATACGTCTAATCTACTTTGTTCTACACAGACCACTGTAAAAATGGTTCCCAAGTCTGAGGTGGTACAGTAATTTGTCCTTTTTGAGACAGAAGTCTCATTTAATCACTCATGGGGTTCTTAATCCCCTTGGGGATTAAAATCAACTTTCTTTTCTACCCTTGATCTGCTCGGAGCAGGAGGGGGCTGGAGTTACCAGCTTGGGAAAAATCTGCAGACTCAGGTACACTACCAAGCACCAAGCCAAGCTAACGTATGGGAATTGACTGCTCCTTCACTTGCCCTCCAGATCACACCTCCATGCAGACACATTTCACTGACAGCAAGAAGGGAGAAGCCAGAGAAAAGTCTCTTCTGGGTGTCAAAGGGCGCTGATAAGAGGGAGGCAGGGAAACGGAGAGCCACGTTACGTATGCCAACATGTCACGAGTCAACTTGGATGGGACTACACTGTTCTGGACGAGAGCGAAGGTCCACGGAGAGAAGAGAGGAGAAGGAAAGAACTCAGTGACCTGAGATCATACTGCTGCAGATTATCTACTGTACCACTGTTGCACTTCTATTTGACTTTAAGACTTGATGCCCTGAATACAGCTTGATTAAAGGACCATTAGAATCAACTCAAGCGGTCTGGGCCACAGAGCTAAATGGGGACATCAAAGTCTTGATACAAGGTTATGCCACTTGCCTGGTTTAACTGGAATGAACTCAGAACAAATATCTAACATGGTGACTT